CTGAAACTTTTCGCGATTACAATACTTCCTTTTTACTTCGTACAAGGAAGTGAAAAGGAAAGAAATCTAAAATAAAACTCTATGAAAACTGAAAAAAAATCAGAATAAGAATTCCAATTCTTGAATAAAGGTAAATGCATTTGTGTATATGAAAAATATAAAGAAGTACATTTTATCAAATTCAAATTTCTGAATAAATCTGGCAGAACAAAATTGTAAAGACAAGAGACAACGTTTCAACGTTTATTTCCAAAACAGAAACACTCAGACATCTTTCTGCCGTTATTCCGAAACGTTATTCAGAAGTCACGTTTAATAAGAGGTACTAGGATGTTTCTAATTAAGCAAATAAGATGTTCTGATTAGCAAATAAGATGTTTATAATTAGAAACTTTCTGCCGCCGTTAACTTTATTTAGTTTAGTAGTTGTTCTATGATTAACTCAGCTTCCATTACTTGCAATGTTATTAGATTTTTGTTTCATGTATTTTAGTATTTTTTTTTTCAAACTATTAAAATAGTTCTCTATTACTATATATACTTCGTTTTAATTTGCAGCTGACTTAGTTCGCAGCTAATTTTAATAAACTTTCTTAAGACTCGTTTTCTAGTTATATCGTCTGAAATTTATTTATTCACTATATTCTTTTTCTCCGAAGTCGAAAATATAATTTATCCCACTTCTTCTTTATATCATTTATTTTCTCTGACTCATAGCATTGGTGCATTGCTTTGTATTTTTCTTCAAAGCTCTTGCAGATTTCATTACAAAATTCTTCCAATGAATTTGGTTTCTGTTTACGTGTTGTTATACGTAACGTCGTTTATTTATTTTTGTTAATTACAGTCTCTCAAGCAACCTGAAAACCTTTTTCTTTCCGCCCTTTTATTCATCCTTCTACAGGGGAAGGTTGCTATCGATGGGTCACTATTACAAAATGATACTTAAAATCGTTAAATTCGGCAATTTTACAGATTTTTACATGCTACAGTGAATAAAAGTATTATATCTCATACTATAAATGTCTAGGAATAGACGCTATAATTATGAAATGTTCAGTAAATATTAGTGTGTGTGTGTGTGTGTATTTAATTATGGCAAAGCACACTAGGGCTATCTGCCTAAGGGGAGGGATGCCTTTCGTGGAGGACTTTCTAAGGGAAACTGGCTCGTATACACGTTACACATGGGGGAAAACCACGAAAACGCCCATGCAGCCAGCCCGTTCGCGGCATTCGAACCTCGGACCGAACTACCAGTGTTCAGCGTCTTTACCGCTCGGCCGCTGGTAAATATTAGAAAACAGAAAATAGGTGCAACGCCTTTATTGAGCCAGGGAGTTTCTATGAATGGGAGGGTAGTTATTTTCTTTTTAATACAGTATCTTCTTAATACAAGTCAATAAAATATTTAAAACTGTTTTGAGCTTGATTCGTAAATAAAATACTGGTTAGGAACCATAATAGACCACTGAAAATACATTGAAAGGTACTGATAGTTTTGCATTATTCACAAGGAATCAGGAGTCAGATTTTAGTTTAGTCTTTATAATCATAAAAAAGACCTAATGTGAGAATCTACGAAATAAAGTTGAATTTCGTTTATTAGAAACAATTTAATGAAAATGATAATTTGAGGGTAATTTATAGTTAGGCTAGTGTATAAAGAACAATAACCATAAATTGAAATTTTTCAAATAGCATAAAATAATTATTAAGCCTATAAATAGCCTATAAATCTTACACAAATTACAGCATCAATTATTCGTTCTTGATGACTTCATTAGTATTTTTTGCAATAATGCATTTTGATCCCCTTTCTGGCACCAGCACCCTTCTCATAAACCCACACTATACACGATAGACATTGAATCATGTCTTTCTTGAAGTCATCACATCAGATAGCACAAAATCATGAATCCTCGTTGGAATTGATAGGCCTTCTATCAGTAAATAGGCAATGAAATTTACCTTACTATTTATTGGTAGGCAATGAAAATTTAGCCTGTACTGTCTTCTTCTGTCCAGAAGTTTGGAGTCGTCTTTTCAAAGCGGTGCCTCTTCTGTTTTTTAGCCATCATGATCTGTTCCTTCTGTTTTTTAAGTCTCTTCCAGGATCTGATTGTATGGGCTACTTATTATCAGTATTGTTTTTTGAGCTTTTTCCAACGAATTGAAGAGTTTTCAATCAAAGAAACTTTAACAACAATGTTGATGCACCAGTTGAAAGTGGTTCTGATTCTCTCCTACTGGAGGTTGCAACAGGCTTTCTCCCTGGAGACTGCATAGCATGTGGCACTCCATTAGTGGAAGCAATTAGGCTTATACTAATTCAGAAGTCAAACAACAAGAATCAATTGATTTTTGTTGTTTGACTTCTGAATTAGTATTTATTCGGCGTGTTATTGTGTCTTAATTAGGCTTATGTCAGGAACTTCTACAACAGGAGCATCCTTTGTCTCAAACTGCACTGTTGCAACAAAATGAGAGTCTTGAAATACATCTCTGTTCACTGGCCAAACTCTTGTTTTAGCAAAACCATTCATTGCTGTACCTACTTGTTGATGCTTGTCCACATGCTTTCCCAAACAATCTTACTTTATGGAACGGGGTGGGGTGTCATAAGACGAGTTTCGTTCGTTAGGTGGGCCGGACTGCGTCCTAAATAAATGGAACAGTGTGGCAACTTGTAATTTTCCTTTTTCCGTCTTTATCGTAGAGACTTTTTTCTTAATGTTTATTAATTTATTCATTGTATAGATACAATTTTAAATCTACAAATATGCAAAAATTACGCAAGAAATAATGAAAATCATTACGAAAATTCCAATAAAATATTCATATTACACACGAATTAGGATACTCCGGTTTAGATTAAAATTAGATTAATAGCTTATAATTATTTTATAACAAAAATTAGATCATTATCTAATTATATATTTAATTACTCCTGATAGCGTTCTACGAGATCTGATAGAGTGACACATTTTATTCTTAAACTTGAAAATGTTAAAAAATATTAGCCTCGATATGGTTTCCATTGTTGAGCAACCAGCCCATTCATAGCAACGCACGTTGGCTCAGTGAAAGCAACTAGCAGTCGGTATGTAACACGTTCGTGATTTTGGTTATAACAAAGTAAACAACCATTGCCAATATAGCCAAATAACGCTACTTTAACACAGTTTTAAATGTTATCAGTAACAACTAAGACACTATTAACGTCTTTCTGATACCTATCTTTTCTTTACATTGATGAATTAGAAGGAAGAATACAAAAATCTTACTTTCTTGTAAAGCAAGTTTGAGCGTGGATCTTTTTCCAATCAAGATGGCGGTTTTCAAGCTTCATGTAGTATTCTAAACAGTGAGGCGTCTTCTGTTAATATCTAGAAAATAACGTAGGTGGCTCAACGAAGGAGCCGGCCTATTGATAGTCCCTTATCCTAATTGTTTTAAAATCATATTTATAATTCACTATGGAAATATTTACATAATATTAGGATAATAAATCCTTCCAGATCTTTAATATCTACCAACCTTTCCATTACATTTTTCTAATAGCTCATGGTCCATTTACAGAATACCTTCATAGATTCGGACTTCACCATACAAATATCTGTACCTGTGGGAATGAAGGCCCGATAGATCATTATCTCTTTCACTGCAACCTTACTAAAGATTGTCACCTTAAAGCATACAAAACTTCTGCTCAGTTATGGTTTCAACAATTATTAACAAGTAATATTCTACGAAATCATCTTCAAAATATAATAAATTATATCTCGGCAAACATCGATAATCTAACAGGAACTTGAAATCATATTATCTATGTTCATTTACCTTACTTAATACGCCATCCTTTTTTGCTACCTTATTTTAATTACTTACTTTTTTAAAAATACGTTTTCATGCTTTCACTCAAGACCATCTTTATTTAAATACATCTTCAAGATCTCCCAAGCTCAATCAAGAATTTAAGAATATTTTCTAACTCCATCTCCTTAATATATTAATTAAGTCTCAACTCAAAATTATTAGTCAAGACTTTTATTCAAGAATTACTTTCTATCAAACATTTCATAGAACTTTTCATTTAAAGTCATCCCAATTCATTCAAAAACTATTTCTCATCAACTTTTATTCAATTACTACTCTTCACTCTCCGTTCAAGAACTCCATAATCAAATACTACGCTCTTATTCTAAACTCTTTACAAAACTTACATTTTCAGCCTCTACTATTCTCATACATTATGTTGTTCATTTTCAAAATTTGTAATGATATACTTAAGTATTTACTTACGTATTTATGTTTCATTTATTTACATATTTATTTTAGGGTATTATGGTATTTATATATTTAATTTTTTTTAAATTTATTATATAATTCTCAAAATTCTAATATTATATTGACTTCATATATAACCACATTGTATTTATCTAATTCTAAATTTTTTTATTGTATCTATTTTGTATTTATATAATTATTTTTGTTATTTAGTTTTTATTATGTAATTATCAAAATTCTAAAACTTTATTGAATTTTATGTATAACAACACAGTTGGTAGATGATTCCATCAGTTGAGCATAACAGCTAAATGTCTTAGACGGTGCAACTGCTCATATGATGGTAAATAAATAAATATATGATAAAACAACGATCGAGGAATTTGCGTAAAAATATTATTAACATGTTATTGTTTATGTTTAGAAATACGAATAAGACAAAACATAATACCTTCGTGACCTGTAAGAACTTAATGAGAAAATATCTTTTAAAATTAAATTTTCTTTCTAAATAATCTTTAATTCACTGAAGTACAAAAATTCATAAAGATTTTACCTTCTCTTTAAATGTGACAGATTACAAAATTTAGTGAGCGTTTTTATTACTCATTGAAATGTTTGAAATTTATACAAAACATTTGAATATTTTACAAATCGTTTTCATCTGTTGTTTCGGCATTTGAATGACTCGAGCATTTATTCTCTTTCAGGGATTTGTCGTGAGGCCAGTAGAATACACGTTCTTCTACCCTCTAGAGGTGAGTCTGTCTGTAGCTGTAGTCCAAAACAAAATATCAGAACCAGAAAATACACACTAGCTTAGGAATTGATAAGTTAATTATATATAAGAAAGATCGTGCAATTAGGTAAACTTTAATAAATTTGAATTGATTAAGAAGTGAAAAATTAATCTCGAAGAACAAAAGAAGATGCTCCTCTTTATATTACTCCCAATGCAGGATTTGAAAGCTGTTAACAATAGATTTTTAGCGAAATTCAAAATTATGCTGGAAATGAATTCATATTATTCAGTTCGATTCATTCTTATTATTAAGTTAGAGTAATAATAGAATAATATTTCATATTATTACATGTATGTTGCATTTTAAATTTGAGCAAATAATATTTAATATTATTGCACGTATAACACATAAATAAAAAATTATGCATAAATGAATATTTACAATACGTATTTTTGAATGGTACTTAATTGATGAATATTTTGAGAATTACAAATTCCAAAGTAAATGCGACAGATTATTTTGAAAAATTGTAATGAATAGTTTAATAAACTGTTCTAATGTCATCAATGCTAGAAATTTTAATTACAAATTCTTTAACGATTTAAAACTATTGCAACAGGTAGTTGTACTTGATAGCGCCTTGCGTTAGATTTGTTGTCCTTTACAAAAGGTGCAGCTTATTTACGCGTATTAAATAAACTTCAAATAAATTAATACAAAAGCAGCTAAATTTCCTTAAATGTCATTTAAACCCTGGTACCCATGAAACTGATTATGTAAATTTCAAATATATTTTTTAACATTGATTGGAAAGTAATTTATATTGTGAAAGGTATTCCATTCATTTAATTTTATTCCAGAATTTAATTTCCTAAGTATGGCTTCGCTAACATTTGAAATTTGTTTCTACGTTTAGAGATTCATCTAAGCTTTTAATTTAGGTGCTTTGAAGGCTTTTTTGTGTGTAGAATAGGATAATAAAATACGTATTTCATCAGACACTATAATTATTTGTGACGCTATTATTAACCGAATTGGTAGATGGTATGTTCTGAGATTAGTATTTCATGCAAGAACATATAAAGACTACATTTAGAGCTAGTATATTCCTTTCACTGCAAATTTGTTAAACTAATATTTAAGGAAACTTTAAATGGGAAGTTCAGAATAAAACTAATTCTGTACCTTAATTCTGATATTATTAAAAACAAAGGAAATATTTTTTTCTATTGATCACTAATTTATGATTTTTGCACGTAGTATTTTTCTCGCTTATCCAGGTGCCGAAATATTTGTGCAATTCTGTTCGAATGTTATCCGAATATCGCTATTTATCTCAGCTAAAAAATAAACTGAAAGTACATTTTTAATTTTAAGCTTAAAAGAATTTTTTGTAAATTAAAAAAAGTGTTTTTTTTTAAGTTTATGCAAAAAAAGGTTTTATTTAAAACTTATAAAGTAATAAATATTGTAAAAGGAGAAAAATGATTTATCATACAGTTTATTGGCAACAAAAGTTAAAATAGTTCATTTTACAAAATTCCTCAGCGATTTTATATCACGAATAATAAAATCTCGAGGCGTCCTTGATAACTTAATATAGTTTATTGCTTATATTATTGACATTACAATTCGATTATTATATTTTGTTATTTAGGTGCCCATGCTTTTAGTATTCGTGATATAAAATTGAAGATAAATTTTGTTCAGAGAATTGCTTAATCACTTGTTCCATTAAATTCTATGATAAATTATTTTTTTGCTCTTAGTTCATTAATTATTTTATGAATTGTCCATAAATCTCCTTTTATAAAAAGTTCTTTTATTATTTTTATTTTCATTTTTAGCCGCAATGACACATTATAAATGAAATTATGCAATTGAAAATTAATTTTGAAGCCATGAATAACAGGAACAACAGCAACACTTCCAAAAATTCTTCTACATCAAATGGCAAAAGAAATCAAATGATTTTCCCTAAACAATCAGAAAATACTTTAAAATCTGAAATAAACTTAATTTAAAAGCCATTTATTTTCTGCCTTATCCGATAGTGCAAGTAGTAAAATTCTGAGATTTTTATGCTATTCGTTAACGATTCGTTCGTTCATTAATGAGATTTATATGCTGTTCGTTAAACGAAGATATATGCGAAAAATAGTTTCGACATTAAATCGCTCTAATTCGAATTAAAAAATCGCTTCACCACGTTATATTAACAACATTAAAAATCTAGAAAGTTCCCTAACTAATATTTTTTATAGCTGTAGCTAACAGAAAGCTGAATTTCTTTGCAATTATTTCTTTCCTGCAAGGAGGAATCTTTTCGAAAGCGAAAAACGTGAAAACCACAGCAGAACATTGCTATCATATTGTCAAAAATAAAGCGAATCACGTAACGCTTCGGGATGTTAACAGCATATTTCAAAGAAATGTAGAAAATCGCCCAATTAATATATGTTATTCTTGTTTTAAAAGAGAGCGAAGTGCTTATTGTATAATTTATGAAAAACTCAAATATTGTAACAGATATATTTTGAAATGTTAAAATTTTAAAATCATGAAAAGTCCAATAGTAAAAAAAATCGAGTGACTTCATCAAAACAAATCAGACATTTTGTTGAATGTTTCATACAAACTTCATCAGCAAAATATTTTCCTACTTAATCCGATGGTTCAAATAATAAAATTATGAAATTTTTAGTTTATTCGTTAAACATATGTACAAAAATCATTTCAACATTAAATATAAAAACATTTTAACCGAATTTTGAAAAACATCACTTCACAACATTGTATTGGAATTCATACACAGTCTGTGTATAAAAGTTGAACTCGGAAGTTTATCAGAAAATAGTTTTAAAATCGACAACAGACTTTCGATCATAGCAACAAACATCATGAGTAAATTAAATAAAGGTTTATAAATAAAAATTTTAAAGCACAAAATATTTTTCAAAGTAGAATTTTTCAGGAAAATTGCTTGATCAACTAATGTCGTTCCTAGTTCCCATCACAAGGTTTTTTATTTTGAAACAATACGTGACTGTTATTTTAACAGAAGAGAACTTCTTTTACAATAAAGTTTACATGCAAGCCACTTATTGCGGTTTGGTTTGCTTTATTTGATTACAGCAAAACACGCTAAGATTGTCTGCCTAAGGAGGCCTTCGTAGAAGATTTTTCTAAAGAAAACAAACTAGCTCGTATCCACATTAGGAAAAACACGAAAACGAGTATTCAACCAACCCGCTCACCTGGAATCGAACTTAGGTGGAACTACCAGTGTTCAGCCACTTTATCACTTCACCATTGCTGAACCCCGCTATTTTGGACTCGCATGCATAATTATGGACGAAACTCTCAGTAGGGGGTAGAGAGTCAAACCGAGTAAATCAGCATTTAATCTTTGACTTAATTTTTGTAATAAGTTCTAGACATTTCGACAACATTTGACACTGGTTATTTTCTTTCACAGGACGAAACAATTCTGCACTATAATCATATCCATGTTCATTATAGCTTCCGTTGAATATTTTATTTCCTGAAGAAGAAATAGATCAGTCAGAATTTCCGTAAATATATAGAGAATTTGTATAAAATTGATGCCAATATAAGACTAAAATTTCGGTAATCTAAACGCATTATCAAAATTTAACTACTGTCCGGCTTTTACCAGCTCAACATTATCCATAAATATATTCTCAGTAACTGAAAAATAAATTTAATGCGCATATAACTTCTATAAAGAGGTTATGATAACATGTTTTTGTAGTAACAAAACACATCTCAATGTGTCACTGCTCGGCTACCCATTGTATAAAAAATGGAGTCTACCTTAGAGAAGAATTTTGGTTGAATTCATTATGCAAGGAAAATGTCGATGACTGCAGTTCAATGTACATTTAGAAAATAGTTTTGTGCAGAAAGTGAATGCATACTGCAGATATAATTTCACACCTTCAAAATGCAAGAATTTTTTAATAAGAGAAAAACATCGGTTATCCACTTATGAGTAAGAGTGATGCATCAGAAATGAAGACTCTCTTCGACCGAATTCTACAGAATTATACGGAAATCGAGAATTAAGAAAGCCAAGTGAACTTCAGAATGATAAAAAAAGATTTTTTGGACGGTCAACTTAAATTTTTAAGACAGATAACTCATAAAGTAATTGCTTAGCCTGACTTCCCGAGACTTACTTCTAAGAGACTATTTTCTTCTCTCTGCACTAGATATTGACAACAGATATTTTAAAACACATCAGCCATGACGTAAAATTTTTTTCAAAATCTTTGCGTTGAATGATGACGAAATTATGTCCATGTTCTTAAGAGCTATTTAGAAGATTGACGAAAACACGTTCAAAAATGTTTTTGATGAGCTGCATACAGAGTGAATGTATATCGCATGTCTATCATTATATGCATTTCTTTTAAAAAGAATACAATTTAAAATTTTTCAATGCAGTTTTCACTGTGAAACAGTAGTATGCAACTATGCTTAAAAATCCAAAAGTTTATCAATCATTTTGTAACTGTGTAAACTGAAGTTGCTCTGTTTTGGTAATGAGGGAGAGTTGACGCTCATTCATGAAGTAATTGGAAGCTCATCCGGCTACAGTTGGAAGATCTGGAGTTCGAATACTGTGAGAACATTGAAGACTTTCCATGGTTACTGAACACACACACATACACCATACACATTTATGTGACTAAGAAATAAAAAACTACTGTGTTCTAAATTATTTCGTAATTTAATTCATTTTCTTTAAGGTATTGTATTTAATTAATGTATTGCTGTTTCTTTCAAAGACGAGTTTAATTCCGTACTTAAGATAAAATATGCATTTAATTACGGAAAGGAGGATGAGTTTTGCTAAAAGATTTACAAATGGCAATTAATTTACAAATGTTTCCGATAAATTCATTAGCAACATCTCAAACAAAAAAGATCTTTATGAGTTAAAATGGAAAGAAAATCGATATTTTGTTTAACATACAGAATGTATTCAA